GTAAGGTTCTGAACTGCTGCAGTGCTGATATCAGCTCCCCAGGACATAAAACACCCGCTTATTCATGATGATGGCTACAGGGAAGTATAACCACAGTACAACCAATTGACAGGAAAGGAGAAAAGGAAGGAATTTTGGTGTTCTGGAAGGGAAAAACAGAAGAAAGCCTGTATTAACTGATGCCACTGTGTCATTCACGCTGCCAGTACTAAAGGGTAAAATTAGGAATGCTGTTGAGGAGGAGGCACCTTCCTATCTGCTGTTGGTGTTCCTGCACGTTGCGACAGCCATTTCTGACTAACCATCTATTTTCTAGGAAGAATGCTGGGTTTACAGGTGCAATCCCTAGGGAAAAGGGACACGGTCTGAAGGTATTACTGTTACCAAGTGAAATGAAATAGATTTGGAATGGAACACGTTCCGAATAGGAAAGCAAACCGCAGGAAATAGCTGTTCTGGTTGAGAAAATTACATTATGGGGCTGTTTATTTAGTAAAACTAAATCAGGTAAAAAGGTTAATTTAGTGCCTGCAGTTCTCCTCTCTGAATTAATCACTGAATGAGGTGAAAGAGGTGCTTCATTTGCTAAATGCGAGCACGTATTTCCCAGCTCCGGCTGAAAGCAGAACTGTGTCTTGGTGTTTCGAGAAGCTCCGTGCTGGGAACAGATAGGAAGGGATTCTGGTGCAGCTCAGATGCAAGGGTTTGTTTTCCTAGTAAATAATTTAGATTCCTGCTGGTAGGAAGAGCAGGGTGGGAACAGTTACAAAGTCCTCAGAGGCCGTGGGGATGTTCCAGTCGAGGTGACACTCCTGTAATTCTGCTGTTGATGGTTTCTGAGGTCAGCAGCCTTTAACAGCTGCAGTGCAAATCCACATTTAAGCTCAGAGAAATGAAGGAGCCTGCATCTAGCTCCTTTTTTTCCTTTGCCACATATTCTCCAGGAAGACAGGATTATTTTTTTTTCCAAGGGCAGCTAATTATTGCCTGTAAGAACAAGCACAGCCGATGTACTTATAAGGCAGAGCAGCCCAATAACTTGTATATTCTGATTTCCACACGACTTGCTGGGAAGATCGGCATTCCATTGATTCATTCATTGCACAAAAAAGGGTGAGACTTCTCAAAACTAACTAATGATTTTATGTAGTTCAGTTCTCACAGGGATCAGACGGTTCAGTGCTCAAACCCATTTCATTCCTCTGGGAGAGTTCCTATGTGCCAGTGATTTTTTCTTTGTCGAGCACTTCCTCCCTGGAAGCTGAGCAAAGCCTTGCCAGGTCATTTCACCGTAAAATTTTTTAGGATTCTCCTTATTACCTTCTGCTGCTTCTCCCAACATTCCACACTTGCAAATTGTTCTTCTCATCAAAAAATGGAGTCTAGCTATCTTTGCAGCTTTTGGAAAACCAAGAAATCCCGAGAGTCTGTTTCCATTATTTTTTTTTTAAGATTTTGTTCTGTAAACCAACATCACTATTGCCTCCTCTGGGCTGCTCAAAGCCTGCTTGGATCGCAGGCTAGCAATAAATAAATATAGATAAGTTATGTAATGATTGGAGCCAAAGCACAAACACAAGGAAAACCACAGGGATAACTGGGTAACTGTCACTGAGTGAACTTGACCAGCTAAACCCAAGCAGCAGTTGTTGTTACAAGTTTGAATGTTTTCAGCCCCTCGGGATATTCAGATTCTTTACAAACTGTTTGAATGTAGCCTCCCAACCTGCCTAACAGGAGGATAAATCTATCCTTGCTCTGGAGTTGCTGTCTGTGCACAGATTTGAACTCCTCGAGCTCTGCGAGCCCATGCTGAACTCTGAGTGCACCTAAGTTGGGTGGGTATGAAAATGAGCCTTAACCTTTGCACCCCTGGGTTTAACTGACTGGTCAAAAGGCAGGGAGCAGCACTTGGGTCTCCACAGCACCACATGGAGCCAAACCACAAGATCATCTGTTCTTTTCTCTGAAGGGTGTTTAAAAATAGACAGAAATGTCTGCTGCAAGGGTACCCAGAACTGTAGAATGGTTTGGGTTGGAAGAGACCTTAAAGCTCGTCCAGTTCCACTTCCCTGCCATGGGCAGGGATACCTTCCACTATCCCAGGTTGTTCCAAGCCCTGTCCAACCTGGCCTTGGACACTGCCAGGGATGGGGCAGCCACAGTTTCTCTGGGCAACCTGTGCCAGGGCCTCCCCACCCTCACAGAGAAGGATTTCTTCCCAAATCCAATCTAAACCTAATAACTTTCAATTTAAAGCCATTCCTACTTGCCCTGTCACTCCAGGCCCTTATAAATAGTCTCTCTCTATCTTTCTTACAGGCTCCCCTCTGGCACTGGAGAGCCACAGTTATATCACCCTAAAGCTTTCTCTTCTCCAGGCTGAACAATCCCAGTGTACATGGACACCTGCTGTCCTGCCTCTCATTCACCAGCACCCCAAGCCCTTCTTGTCAGGGCGAGATCCCCTTTCCACATTTTGCCTTTTGGCTCTGAACCTCTGCAACCAAAGCGTTCTACCTTTGCTGACACAGCCCTTGGAATCTTAACACTGCTCCAAGACATCCAGTTTTTGTCCAGAGCATCCAGTCCAATGCAAAACCCCTGCACGCAGTTAGCCAGCGGTCACGCTCCAGGTGTGCCTCAATGCAATCCCCCAGGTCATTTCTTTTGTCTAGGTTTGATACTGCCTCTGTCGGTCTCTCCCTGGACAAACACATGGAATTCTTGCTGGCTGCCTCTATCTCTTTCCCACCAGTGTCCCTCTAAATCCCTTGCTTGTGAGGACTGCCACAAACTACCAGTGGGATCTTGGAAAACTGCCACAGCTTCACAGACTTCTTAAACACCGACTCTTAAGCAAGGAATCCCAGAAGAATTAGAATGGAATTGTGAAAGCGAGACAAAATTCCAGCAGGACTTGCCCTTCTCTGCTCCTTCTCAGTTTGAAAAGTCAAGACGAAAATTAATAAAAATGGGAGCAGCACATAGCAGGCTTGGATTCCAAGAGCACTTCACCCTATGCATAGAGGGGTTGGTGCAGCAAAAATAACCTTTCATTTCAGTCTTGTGAGTTACTAGGGAAAAGGTTAAAAAAAACTCTTGTGACAGATGAATTTTCAGCAAACCGCTTCAGAGTTAATTTGTCAGGAAATAAATCGAAAGAAAGAAATCTATGCTCTCCCCATGCTTGATTTATGTCACTGTGCTTATTATCTCTAGAGGAAATCCTCCTTTGTGTGCTGTCAGAACAGCCAATAATTACAGATACTGGAAGGAGTTTAAAGAAAACGAGTTGCCTTTGCTCTGAACTTCTTGCTTTTATCTGTTCATTTCAACCTCTCGTGGTGTGGCAAGATTCTGACACTCCTCGCCGTGCCAGGATTTGCATGCCAAGTATTTATTCTGTTCCTGGTCTTCGGCGCACTGTACTGTAACGCAGTCCCAAACCCATAACGAAAAAAAAAAGGTCTTAAGTTGCAAAAAAATGTGGACATTTACAAGTTTAGTCGTCCAGTTTTTAAAGAATAAATGGAGCTGTAAGACACCACCTTAGCTTCCCTAGTACTTGTGCAGCCAGTGGGAATGCCAGACACAGCCTGGATAGGAGAAGGAAAAGTGCAGTGACACGCTTTGTGCTGGGGAAAGGCCTAAGGGAGCCAATGAAGTCCAGGGTAAACTCCTGTTTCCATTCTGCAGGGCAGTAAACAGGACACCTCTAGAGAATAAACAAGCAGCTCTGCCCCAGCACACACAGACACGGAACGGGCACAGAACAGGCAGGACCCTGACGCTTTTGCGGAGGGTCCGCACAAGAAGGGGCTCAATTACGAACAGACGCCTTACAACAGAGTGTTTTCAATGCAACTTTAAACCCCGTCCTCTAGCCCTGCCCCGAGCCCCCTCCGCGCTCTCGCGAACCCTCGCGCGCGCGCGCGCCGCCGATGCCTTCGCGAGGCGACTCAGCCGCGCGATCCTTCCGCCAGGAAAAAGAGTCCCTGCCCCCTACTCCCCTCACCGGCTCCCCCTCACAGCCGCCCGCCGGCGGAACCCTCACCGAGCGGTGGGGGAGAACCGGGAGGGGAGAACAGGGAGGGGAAAACCGCCTACAGCCGCCGGCGGCCTCCGCCCCCCCTCACACGGGGCTTTGTCCCCTGACGGCGGCGCTGAGGGGAAGGCGGTGAAGCGGCTCTTCGCTGAGGGGCGCTCGCGCCGCCTCGCCGGCGCTTCTTCCCCTCCTACCCCCCCCTCCCCGATCCCCCCGGGAAGCGGCTGGCTGCGGGCTGCCTCTCGCTTCCCCCCCCTCCCTTTTTCATTTTTATTTTATTTTATTTTATTTTAACCCCCTCCCTCCCTCCCGGGCGGCGGCCGGCCTACTCCCTC